TTTCTTTACCTGTCCCCACCTCGGTAGATAGGACAGCTACGGTGAGGATGATGTGGATGTTCACAAGGATACCCAAGGAGAGCTGCGCCAGCACAACATTCAGCAGGACGGCTAGCACGAACCATCCCATCAAAATAGTCCTGACAGAGGACATGTTGTCCACATGTCAAAAAAACAGCAGGACGTTCATCACAAGGTGGCATCATACAATTTTGATAGCGTCCTTGGGCACAAAAGGGACAACGTATATCTGGGTGACAGGGATGTGTACAATAAGGAAATGTTGGACACCCTTCAGTACAGACAGCGGTAGTCGCAATAGATTGATAATGGTTATGGCATAGATGATGCATTCCACAGCCAAGGCGCACCGCATCTCTGTCCCGACAGGTGTCACACGAGAGTCGGTCAATAATCCAAAATAAAGTATGATTCGACAATGCACGCAAAAATTCATTCACGTCGAAAATGACCTGACTCAACGTGCCACCATCCCACAGTTCTCACTGGGCAGCTGCACGAATGAGTGCCATATAATGCCCAGGTTTGTGTAAGACACAGGCAGCAATATGAGGATGGTTATTGAGGTCATCGCTTGGCGTCGCATGATGCATAAGAAGGTGGCGGCCGTGGAACACTAACTGTAAGACATTCACAGTAAAGCCTCCTGAGGTAGTATAGTTACTGCCTTCAGGAGGTGGACTATTATGATCATACAACAGCTGGGTTGCCAGCGATCGGGACGGCCCGAACGTCCAAACCCGAACGCCCGAACGTTCGGCACCCCCTCTCGACGCGTTCGGCCGTTCGGCCGAATGCGGACCCAAAAAAAAAAAAAAAACTCCAAAAAATCTAAAAACAATATATGTTATGCAGAAGAATAAACTAAACAACATTTGCCTCAACGTTACATCCAAATTCTTTACCAAATTTAAAATAAAAATCAAATACTGTGAGGATTGAGCCCTCAAGTAGGGGTCTTGCCATGATGTACATGTTCTGGGCTAAGGCCCCTGCAAACCTCGTGCCCGCCCTAAGTGAAGGCGGGCCAGCAAATCAACAAGAGCCCTCTGTACAAACATTTCACGAAGTGGGGTCCATACAGTTGCTGCACGCCAGTTGGTTGGAGTGCACCGAGTCTTGGATTTCAGCAAATGCTGAAAACCCAGGGCCTCTGAGTTAGTTAGGCCCTGGGCACTTGCACGTGAGGCCGACAATGCATGCTGGGTAGAGAGGCCGAAAATGCCAAAGGGAAAATCGGCCACTATCTGAATCTGGCCGCAGGCCTTGATGAAAGAGGCGCAACTGCATTGCCCCGAGCCTCAACTGTATCGGGCTGGGTTCAGCCACTGGGGCCCAGACGCAGGCGAGGCCGCCCACACGCAGCACTGGCATATAGGCAAGCAGAGCGAGTGGGCAGGGATCTTGGCAATTGCGAGCAAGGCTTCATCGCCTCGAAAATACACAAAGAATAGAATTACAACGAGGAGGCGCATCCGCCATAGAAGTTCCAATCCTGGCCCCGAGCCAGTCATCCACTCAACGCCAATTACTTGTCCTCATACCCGCACCGACGATCCCGGTCGCCGCGTGCTACCAACCACCACTGTGATCGTCACCCCGCTAACTTTGGCTCGACGCGGCTCGCCTAGACCCCACAGTCCGTCGTGGCGATCAAGCGCGCAACCGGCCAGTCTACAGTCAACCCGACAGGACTTTTCGACTCGCATCATACACCTCTCCTAGCCACTGCTTCCCGGAAGTTGGCTTGCGAGTTGAGAGCGTGAGAGTAAGAGAGTTTTGCGGATGCGCCTGCAAAATTTATAGTTGCGGGAGGGGAGGCAAATGCATGGAAGGAGGAAGACGAGTACAGAGAAGAGAGAGAGAGGACTTGGGGAGGATCGCCCGTCGAAAGCCATGTTGATCCCGTGTAACCGGATCTCAGCCAATCAGAATCGTTGCGTAGTAGGAATTTCCTCTTACACGGCGCTTCTCCTTGGCTGGTCGGGGCGACGCGGGAATTCACCAAGCTTTCTGGCGTAGAACTTAGAGCGGGAAGGAGAAGGAAGCGAAGGATGGTGCGATACGGGTCCAAGATTCAGATGATCAAGAAAGAGAAAAGGCGCGCAAGGAGAGGGAGAGAGAAAAACAGTTACAGGGAGAGAACGAGAAGGAGCGCAAGCGCGCGGGAGGAGGGCGGTGAGGGGAGGGGAGGGAGGAAGGGAAAGCTCGCATGCATGGCGCTGATCGGCGAATGCAAAAAGGGGCACCATAACAGTTACAACTTTTTCCTACGTCCTATGCTAATTCAAAAATTAAAATCGCCATACCCTGTCTCTTATACACATCTAGATGTGTATAAGAGACAGACGAGAAGGAGCGCAAGCGCGCGGGAGGAGGGCGGTGAGGGGAGGGGAGGGAGGAAGGGAAAGCTCGCATGCATGGCGCTGATCGGCGAATGCAAAAAGGGGCACCATAACAGTTACAACTTTTTCCTACGTCCTATGCTAATTCAAAAATTAAAATCGCCATACCCGCGCGCAAAGTTGGAGCGGGAAAAGAAAGTCCTACGTCTATCCGTATTCTCACAAAATTCCTAGAGTGTTCTACGATGTGACCGAGAACATTCATGCACAAAAAGGACATGTCGGGCTCCGCTTATTCCAGAATTCCTAACCGTCGAGCCAATTTCCAAGCGCACTCGCTAAGGCGCGTGCAATTCCCATGCATTTCCCAAATTACAAAAAGACAGAATTTCAAGAATCCATGGAACTGACAAGAACACGAGTCCCAGCGATGCACCTTTAATCGAACAACAGATAAAGGGTCATATAGGCCCAAGCAAAACACATCTCGAAAAAGGAAATCGAAAGGGGTTGGGAAGATGGCGCAGGTCCGAAAGCTAGTTCGTCACAGGGTGTTGTACTACTTCTCATCATGCCCCTTCTCATCCTTCTTGCCCTAGTCCCTCTAATAATAACCCTTCTTCCCGTACTTGCCGCTGTACTTGTTACCATACTTGTCGTTGTACTTATGATACTTCTTGCTTTGCTTCTTCTTCCCATAATATTTCTTGTTATAATTTTTGTAGCCATACTTTTTCTCGCCATACCCCTTCCTATCGTAACGGTTGTACTTCATACCATACTCCTCCATGTACTTCACTTCGTGCTTCTGTCCTTTGAAATTGCCATCATAAAACTTGTTGTCATACTTCATATTGTCCTCATCATAGTCTATGACCACATCCATGTCTCGGTTGTCGTACCTCTTCCCTTTGTTGCCATACTTATTCTCATAGTATTTGTTATAATACTCGTTGTCATACTTGTTGTCGTACTTGTTGTCGTATTCATTGTCGTACTTGTTGTCATACTTATTGCCATACTTATTGCCATACTTGTCCTCGTACTTCCCTTGTTCACCGTATTTCTTCCCGTCCTCATACTTCCCTTGGTCATACTTATTGCCGTCCTCATACCCCCCTTCGCCATACTTGTTCCCGTCCTTGAAGTTTCCTTGGCCATACTTGTAGCCATCCTCGTACTTCCCTTCTTCACCATACTTGTTCCCATCCTTGAAGTTCCCTTGCCCATACTTATTGCCGTCCTCGTACTTCCCTTCGCCATACTTTTTCCCATCCATGAAGTTCCCTCGGCCATACTTGTTGCCGTCCTCGTACATCCCTTGTTTGCCGTACTTGTCCCCGTCCTTGAAGTTCCCTTGGCCATACTCGTTGCCATCCTCGTATCTCCCTTGTTTGCCATACTTGTTCCCTTCCTTGAGGTTCCCTTGGCCATATTCGTTGTCGTCCTCGTGCTTCCCTTGTTCGCTGTCCTTGTTCCCGTCCTTGTTCCCGTCATTGTTCCCGTCCTTGTTCTCGTCCTTGTTCCCGTCCTTGTCCCCGCCCTTGAAGTTCCCTTGGCCATGCTTGTTGCTGTCCTCGTACTTCTCTTGTTCGTCATACTTGTTCCCGTCCTCGTACTTCCGTTGTTCGTCGTACTTGTTCCCATCCTTGTTCCCGTCCTTGAAGTTCCCTTGGCCATACTTCTTGCCGTCCTCGTACTTCCCTTGTTCGTGGTACTTGTTCACATCCTTGAAGTTCCCTTGGCCATACGTGTTGTCGTCCTCGTACTTCCCTTGTTCGTGGTACTTGTTCGCGTCCTTGAAGTTCCCTTGGCCATACTTGTTGCCGTCCTCGTACTTCCCTTGTTCACCGTACTTGTTCCCGTCCCTGTTCCCGTCCTTGTTCCCGTCCTTGTTCTCCTCCTTGAAGTTCCCTTGGCCATACTTGTTGTCGTCCTTGTACTTCCCTTGTTCGCCATAGTTGTTCCCGTCCTTGAAGTTTTGTTGGCCATGCTTGTTGCCGTCCTCGTACTTCCCCTGTTCGCCCTCCTTGTTCCTGTCCTTGAAGTTCACTTGGCCATACTTGTTGCTGTCCTCGTACTTCCCTTGTTCGTCGTACTTGTTCCCGTCCTTATACTTCCCTTGTTCACCATCCTTGTTCCTGTCCTTGTTCCCATCCTTGTTCCCGTCCTTGAAGTTCCCTTGGCCATACTTAATGTCGTCCTCGTACTTCCCTCGTTCGTGGTACTTGTTCACATCCTTGAAGTTCCCTTGGCCATACTTGTTGTCGTCCTCATACTTCCCTTGTTCACCGTACTTGTTCCCGTCCTTGTTCTCGTCGTTGTTCCCATCCTTGTTCCCATCCTTGTTCCCGTCCTTGTTCCCGTCCTTGTTCCCGTCCTTGAAGTTCCCTTGGCCATACTTGTTGTTGTCCTCGTACTTCCCTTGTTCACCATACTTGTTCCCGTCCTTGAAGTTATCGTGGCCATGCTTGTTGCCGTCCTCGTACTTCCCTTGTTTGCCGTGCTTGTTCCCATCCTTGTTCCCATCTTTGTTCCCGTCCTTGGAGTTCCCTTGGTCGTACTTGTTGTCGTACTTCCCTTGTTCGCTGTCTTTGTTCCCATCCTTGTTCCCATCCTTGCTTCCGGATCCTTGTTTCCGTCCTTGTTCCCATCCTTGAAGTTCTCTTGGCCATACTTGTTGCTGTCCTTGTACTTCCCTTGTTCATGGTACTGTTCACGTCCTTGAAGTTCCCTTGGTCATACTTGTTGTCATCCTCATACTTCCCTTGCTCACCATACTTGTTCCCATCCTTGTTCCCGTCCTTGTTCCCGTCCTTGTTCCCGTCCTTGTTCCCATCCTTGTTCCCGTCCTTGTTCCCGTCCTTGCTCCCGTCCTTGTTCCCGTCCTTGTTCCCGTCCTTGTTCCCGTCCTTGAAGTTCCCCTGGCCATACTTGTTATACTTGTTGTCGTCCTCATACTTCCCTTCTTCGCCATACTTGTTGCCGTCCTTAAAGTTCCCTTCTCCAGAATTGTTGCCGTCATGCTCGTAATCTCCGAGATGCCTGCTAACGATGTCAGTTTCTGTTCCGACGTTCTGAGTGGCCGCAGCCGTCTTCCGTATGGACTTGCTCTTACTTGTATGGACTGCAAGGGACTGAATGACAAAACCAAGGAGAATTATTCCAAGACATCCTATGGCTAATCCTGCCAATCTAGCCATGCCAGTGGCTTCCCTCCTGACGACCGCCATGGACTCCGAAGACTATATCCCCACTCCTGATCGCTTCTACTGGGCCCTTTTTTTTTGTTTTGATGGCTGGAGCAGGAGACGTGCTGCTGTGAAGAGAAGCAGATCCCCTCCTCAGCCTACTACTTCAAGTTGCAGCAGCTGGGGTGCATGATTTCTGCTTATTGCAGCAATGCGGAACGCCATTGCTAACTCCAGTACCATTACCCTGCCATTCCTTAGTGAAGTGGCAAGGTCATGGCTGATTTGTTGCAGCATTGCAGGCATATATACTTCCCCCAAGAAGCTCAGGCTCTGCAAGACCTCCAGTTCAGAGGGTCTTCCAAATAGTAGTTCCCCTTGTTACATCTCTCATGTCTATTCGCCATCTGAACCACTGCCAAGCAGGATCTCAGGCACAACGAAGATTTACAACTGTACTCGGAACGGACAGTGGATGTGTTGTGAACTAAATCAAATGTGTTGGAATGCTGAGTGTGCACGGATGCAAATGGTGCAAAATAATTTTGAATAAAGAATTTCTAATAAAATATTTCCAATAAATAAATTCCGAATAAATAATTTCGAGTAAACTCCTTAGCAGTGCTTACATACATCTCTGGCAAATAAATTCAAGTTGACGACTCCAAAGTTTTTCGTTCACTGGTGGACTCGTGAAAGAGCACACTGTGGTGGACTCGTGAAAGAGCACACTGTGGTGGACTCGTGAAAGAGCATGCACGACACCTACTATAGGCGCTGGAGCAATTCAAATCGCAGTTGGGCAAAGATGGTCAGGGACTCTTTTTAGTTGTGGCCTGTGCCCTTAAAAAAAAAAAAAAAAAACTACGGGGGAGTGCGGTGTTGAGCTTTGAATTCGCAGGAATAACAGGCCACTGCAGGTCCGGGCTGAGGGCAGTTCGAAACTGCAAAAATAAACAGCTTTGTGGACTTCTTTTTTTTGGTGACCAGGCCTCAGGGAGTGCCCCAGTACTCATCCATTGGGAGGTCAGATGGATTGCAGTGGTCCCGGTAGGAAGTTTGAAAGTGGGAAAATCAGGCGGCCACTGGTTTTTGCTTTTTTTTTCTTTTTTTCTTTTTTTTTTTGTTGTTGTTGTTGTTGTTCATTTCCGAGGAGACCATGCCGGTGGCTGGGCCATGGCCGAGATGTCTAGGCCACGACTGTGGCTGGGCCATGGCCGAGACGTCTAGGCCACACCCATGGCTGGCCCACGGCCGAGTTGTCTAGGTCACACCCGTGGCTGGGCAACGGCCAAGGTGTCTAGGCCACGCCCGTGGCTGGGCAACGGCCAAGGTGTCGAGGCCACGCCCGTGGCTGGGCCATGGCAAAAAGGGGTCTTGTCGCGTGGCTGGGCCACGGCCGAGACTTCTAGGCCACGCACGGAAAAAAAAAAAAAAAAAAAAAAAGAGATGCTATGGTCGTGAACGCATCTGTAGGGAGAAAAAACAAAAGGGGAAAAAAACAGCGACTGGAGCCCATCCCGCCCCAGCCCACGGGAAAACAACAGGTACCGGTACCTCCCATTTTTGCCAACTGTTGAACTGGCAGGCCAGGTACCGGTACCTGTTTTTTTTGCAGTTCATAACTGCTCTCCACTCTGCAGTGTCCTGTTATTTCTGTGAATTTGAAACACGACATCGCACTCCAGCGCAGTTGTCCTTTTTTTTTTTTTTCGTTTTTGTTGTGGCCTGTTCCAACTTCAAAGACCATTTGAATTTGCTGTCCGAATAATTCCGACCTTTCAGCTGAGGGTCCAACTATTGTTTTCTTTTGTTTGTGTTTTACTGTTTGGAAAAGGACTACCAAGTGGTACAGATGGGCAAAGCTCCCATATTGGGTGTGGTCTTTCGCACAGGTACTTGGCATTCCTTGCGAAAAAATTCAAAATCCTTACAGTGGAACTTTTTTTTTTTTTTTTTTTTTTTTTTTTAACAATACTCCCCGCGTCAACAGATAGGAGCGATGGTAAGAGCATCCACTCCTACCCATCTTGCAGGGGGCTCCAGTCTATTGGCGGGGAGCTTCGTCTGCTGGAAAGCGGGTGCAGCATCCCCTGAGATACATTTTGAATTGGTAGCACAGCCCAATGTGGGAACTGGGCCCAGTGTCCCTCATGCAGTTCGCTGCTAATGCCATTAATACTACTGCTGACATGATGCTGAGATGGATGATGCAGATACTACAGGTAATGAGCTGAGCACAACCTTCCTCTTTTTAAAGAAATAACGGTGGATGCGGCATGTTTTGAAACCCTAAAGGCGAAAAAAACTTGCGCCGGCAGAGAAACCACGGGCCATCCCGAAATGAGCGAACATGAGCTTTGTAGGGCTTGGGCTCACAAGTATTGATCGGGGTTATCTCCTCAGGATTGGAGCTCCTCCCTGCGAGGGCTACACAAGGTGGGAGGTGTTGTCCTTGAGAGGGTAGGGGCGGTACTGTGGGATTGTCCTTTTCTGGGCCGTGCTGATCTTTGGGTCGGATCAGTATGGCGGTTGGGGAGAGTGGACAAGGGGTGCTGAATTTAGCAAGATGGGAGGTAGAGAGGGCTGTTTCACTGGGAGGGGGTGGGACAGGAGGAAAGGGGGAATTCCAGCTCTGCTGGGGCATACTCTAGGGGGGATTGTGCGCTGCTGAGGGAGCGGGAATGGCCGCTTAGGGGGCTGTTTTGAACTGGGGCCGGTGTGGTGAGGGGGCACCTTCCGGCGGAGGCAGTGTATGGACAGAGGGACGTTTTTGAGGGAGGAGTAATCTCCGGAATTTTTTTGTGAGTTCTTCATGATTGGTTGAGCTTCGAATAGACACCGGAACCGCTACAGGATGAGGGGTAATTTTTCCCTCCCTTCCTCTTGTCTCGTGGAGGTAGAAGGGGTCTTCTCTGCCTTTGTCTGAGTCAAATTTCTCTGAAGGAGGGCAGGGGGGGGTTAGAACCGGAGGATGGAATTTAGTCGGGAGGTTCTCAATGGAGGAATGGTTGTTAGGCAAGTAGGTCAGAAGAACGAAGCTGGGACGACACAGGCCGGTGCTGGAGCTTTGGCTCTGTGACCTGGGCGGAGCTTGAGGCATGTGGAGTTATGCTGAGGGTGGAAGGCATAACCAGATCGTTCGACGAAGCGGGCGCCGAGGTATTAACCCTGTAACCTGTTTAGGGGCTTACCGTTAAGGGTAGTGTCGAGGGAGGAAGGCACTTCCTGTCCGTCAGAACTAGGTTGGCCAGAACTGGGGAAGGTTGCGGTGCTCTGTTACCCTAGCATGAAGGGGGTGTGAGATCAAGTGAACGAGGACTGAAAGCCTGGACAGACTTTCGGTCTGTTGAGGGGGGTATTTTGGATAGTAGGTTGTTTTAGTTTTGACCCCCCGCTTATACAGTTTTCCTAACTTTTCCATGCCTTTCCAGATATTTTCAAAAAACAAAAAAGACTTAGTAACTGCGGCTTGAGTAACCTAGCATTAGGTCGGTAGGTCAGCAGTTATCCATGGTTTTCTTAAATTCTTATGAATTTCTTTCGGAGTTCTCAGATTGTTTTTAGCTGAAATTCTTAGATTGTTCTTAGTTGAAACCAGTAGTTATCAATGGTTTTCTTAAATTTCTCCTGAACTCTTGTCGTGGTTCTCATATTGTTCTTAGCTCAAATTCTCAAGATTGTTCTTAGCCGAAGCCAGGTAATGGCCCTGGTATTTCGAATCATTTGTATCATTTTATATGGGACGCTGGGCCCGGTTCCCAGCAC